GCGCCCTCCTGGGCACGAGCCACGGCAGGGAGGCACCCGGCGGCGGCATCCCGAGCGCCTCCCCCTGGGGCGGCAGGCGCGCGAGGGCAGGATCAGGACCGCGTGCGGCAGAGACGACGACCTGCGGGGCGGCGCGGGGCTCCCTCCCAGGGTCTGGGGGGGGGGCCCCCGGGGGTGCCGACCCTCGCGGGTGCGACTCGGACACGCTGGCGTCCCTCTTGGCCAGTCAGGGCATTTGCAGGCAGCATGGGTTCCGTCAGGTTCGCGCGCTACCGGCGGGCATCTGCCCCTGCGGAGACCCCGGCAGAGACGCCCGGCGCAGCTGGGGGCCCCTGCGACGCCAGCTCAGCCAGCGACCGTTGCGCGCCAGCACGCGGGTCCGCATGCCCCAGCCCGACTGAGTAGCTACCCGAGCGCATCCGCACGGTCCACCTCGCGGGGCCCAGGCATGACGGGAACGACGGGAGCGACGTAGCTGCGCCTGGACAGGAGGATAAAGTTGCCGTGCCAAGCCCAGGCGCCCAGGCATCGGCAACGAGGCGCAGCCGCAGCGCCACTCCAGACTGGGGCCCCAACGAATCAGAGAGAAAGAGGGCGCTGCAACCGTCCGCGCGAGACTCGCGCGCCCCCGTGGATGACCCGAGCCAAGGGCGAAGCCAGCTCCGACGGCGCACGCCGCGTCTCGCTGCAGCCCAGCGGGCCCGCGCCCGACGTCCAGGTTGCCGAGTGCCTCATGGCCGAAGATGATGTCGGCGCCCGCCCCGACTGCTGGCATGCCATGGCCGACGAAGCTGGCGATCGGCTCCTGCGGGGTCTATCCAGGCGATCGGTGGCAGGACTAGTCGAAGAGGTTCAGGTGGGGTTCCGCCTGTGCGCTCGGATCAGAGCGGAGTGACTCACGGTCAGGGGCGGGCAGAAGATGTCCACCTGGCCCAGGTCGCCCGGGGCAGCCGCCCCAGCGGGGGGTCAGACAGCGCCATTGAGCCCAGGACCAACGACGAGGTGCAAGGGGCCACTAAGAGGAGCGGCGGGGCTGAGGGGGGGCCCCGCAGTGCAGAGACTTGGTGGGCGCCAAGCTACAGAGCCATAGAGGGAGGGGCGCGCTGGAGCTCTTGGAAAAGGGGCAGCCAGTGGCGCAACGAGCCCAGCTGGGGCGCCCGCGGGCGGGCAGATAACATTGCCCAACGCGTGGACTGGACTGACCCATGCGACCGCCTGTGCAAGATACCGCGGCGCGATGCCGAATGGAGTCCGCAGTGGGTCTCGAGAGATCGCCGAAGCGAGACCCGGTCAGAGTCCATCGGCCGCCTTCGGTGCACCTGCGGGGCTCTGTTCGTGGAAGGATGGAGCGGGGCCCGTGGCCAGACAGACGGCAAAGTGTAGGGCAGGGGTCGGTGCAAGCCCGGCGGCTTCGTCGACTTTGCCGCAACTTTCTTGAAGACCTGGCCGATGCCCAGTGCGACATTCGCGCGTTCTGCCGGTATCGCCACCTGGAAGTCGGTGGGGGCAAAGTTGGCAGCAGCGACGTGACCGGTAGGTCCGGGCCACTGGCGGGAAAGGCCATGGTGGCAGGCGGCCCGGCGGTGCCTCGTTGCTCTCTGGCGACCTGTCCCGGATGTGAGTCCTGTAGCAGTAGACCTGGTTCACCCATTGGGCAGGGCGGACGCAGTGCGCTCCATTCCCTGGGCGAACCGGGCCGACGATGATTTTTTGTGCTGCGTCTGCGATTGCGGCTCGGTGCCGTCCATCCCAGGAGGTGCCTTGCCCTTGTTCCACCTGCTTATGCACCGATCAGGTGCTTCCCTTTCGGGCGCGCCATCCACCGCAGGTGGGGCGCCCCCCCCCCCTCTCCCGTCGAGGCGCGCCATCCACCCCGGGCGGCATGCCTCCCTTCCGCCGCGGCGCTTGCCACCCCTGGCAGCGCCCCAGCTTTAATGCCAGCTTGTGCGCCGATCAGGTAGGTGCTTTCTTTTTTGATTTTTGGGCGCGCCATCCGCCGCAGGTGGCGCGCCCTCCCCCCCCCGTCCCCCTAGGGCGCGCCAGCCACCCTGGGTGGCGCGCCCCCCTCCTCCTTGGCGCCCCCCTCGGGCGGTGCCGCGGCTGTCGCGCTCGCATGTGCACCGATCAGGTGCGTCCCGTCAGTGCCTGCACTCGTGCTGCCTCCCGCTGCCTCGCTGGGGAGCTGCAGCCGCCTGCAGCTGCGTGGTCCTCGCGGGGTCCACCGCCGCCCGCCCAGGCCGCGCGTGCCTCCCATCGGCCGTGACCCTGCTCCTGCCGGCCCGCTGCGTGTGCAGGGAGTCGCCCAGCTGCCAGCCCGACTTGGGTGCCGGCGCCTCTGCGCCTATCATTTTTTTTTTTTTTTTTTTGGTTTTTTGTTTTTTTTTCTCCTCCCCGCCGTCCTGCCGCCTTCAGCTGTGATGCGTGCGCTGGCTGGGACTCGGGTCCGCGGCCCTCCCCGCTGCCTCGCCTGCTTCGGCCGGCGCGTGGACATCTCTGCCTTGCCGTCGGGTCACCGGGCGGCTGCCTGGGGCCCCGTGGTCGCTCTGCCGCCGCTCTCTTTGGCCGTCCCCGAGCCACCGCCGCCTTCTCGGTCTCTACGTCGTGGCTCTGCTTTGTAGACACGCGTCTGCGCCCCTGCCGCTTGCAGCGCCGCTTCTGTGCTGGCCGGTCTGGTTGAGATCCTTCCCCCGGCCTGCCCAGAGAAACAGCAGTTGGCAGCATTGCCCGCGCCCCGCAGCCCGGCCAGCACTTGTCCCGCTACATTTTGCCGCCGTGGGCGCCGCTATCGGTCTGGTGCGCCAGGACACCGATGCTTCGGCTCCGCACCTCCCCGTTGCACTTCTTCTTCGCGCGTTGCAGCCTCTGCCTCAGCTCTCGGGTGTGGCCGCGATGCCGCCCCGCGCCCGCTGCCAGGGGCGCAGCGCCGGCTGGCCACCCGGGCCGCTCCGCAGCGGGCCCCGCCGCGTGAGTGCTCTCCCTCCTCCCCCCGCCTGCGGTCGCGCCCCCGCCTTTCCCATTCTTGCTGTCGGACAACTCGCGATGTCGTCACACGGCTTGCACGAGTGCGCGTGCGGACTGCTTCAGCCGCGATGCGACGTAAAGAAATGGTCTCGTTTTCCGCTTGGTCCTTTGTCCTTGCTGCGCTTGTCCCTTCCTCGTGCCCCCCTTACCGCTTCCTTGGCGCATCCACGTGTCCGCCCCCGCAACCCGCTGCGGCTGCTAGGGAAGGAGAGAAAAGCGGAGGAGGGGGTGGGGGGAGGATGAGGAGGAGATGACAGAGGAGAGATGGTCACCGACCTGTCGTGCTGGAGCCGGGGGTGGCGGATTGCTTGTAACCGCAATCTTGGAAACACATAGGTCGTCGACGATTGGTCACGTGGACGCGCGTCGGCAAATCTCGCAAACATTGAGTTCGCACTAGCACAGCTCTTCAGGAACGCGTATTTCTGCTTGTGCCGAATGGGGCCGAATGGTGGTGCTGACCAGAAGAGCAGGAGGAAGGAGACGTGGCAGAGTAGGAGGGGAAAACGGAGGAGGAGGGTCAAGAGCAGACTGATGCCTTTCCACTGGGTGGGGAGCCCTGTGGTGGCTTCTTGCGGGACGGGGGTGACGAGCCCTATGGGGCCCTTGGCGGACCTGCCTCTGCCAAGCCTTATCGTGATTGCTGGTGACTGCGAGCTTTGCGGTGCAGCTGCGCCATGGGCTCTCAACCTGTCGCGGGCCAGCACGTAGCGGTTGAGCTCCCAGTGGTCGGGACCAGGATGCGCCGCAATGCTCTGGCCAGCACCCGTCGCGGTCGAGCGCGTATTCCGAATTTCACAGTAGTGATTTGGGTCTGGTGTAGGGGGGATTGATTTGAGTTGTTTTGGAGGGTTCCAGGGGTCGTGGCAAAAGGCCGCCCTCTCATGGCTGGTCCGGGGGGTGACCTAAAATTTGTTGTTTGGGAGATTTATGCCCCCCCCACGCGTTAGGAAGTTCGGGGTAGCGGTTGGACTCTTGCTGGCGGGATTCGCAGTGCAGGAGCAGGGAGAGGTCGCCGCGGACCAAGCCAACTCCGGGTACAGGCGACGAGCCTCCCTGGGTCGCAGAGGCGGGGCCGTGCAGCCGACCGCTTCTGCAGGGAGACCGCGGCAGAGCTCCCCGTCGGCCGCGGGGCCTGGGTGCACCGTTGACCCGTCGTCCCCCCCATTCCTCCGGGCTCCCTTCCCGAAGCCCGCGGTGGGCGGAGCGCGGAGTGGATCGGCTGCGTGATCGTCGCGCCCTCCCCCTTCGGCTCCTCCCTCTCGGTCTCTCTCTGGGCGGTGCGCGCTTGCTGGGGATGGAAAGGGCAGCTTCTGACCCCGTCGTTCCCGGGAGCCCGCCAGCCCAGCTCCCGCACCATCGGCGGGTCGGCAGACGGCTGCCTGCAGCGCGGCCCCCCCGCCAGTGCCTGGGGCGCGCGCCAGGCGAACCCATACCTCCGACCGCGTTTTTTGGGGGGGTTTGGTTTTGTATCCCTTCCCTGGGACGGGTTTTTCATCCCGAGCCGATTTTTCGGGGGCGGCAGAGAGGGGTGATGAGTAGGGGGGGTGGATATCATGGCGTGGGCCATGAGATTTCCCCAGATTTCATGGCACCACTGTATATTTCATTACGTCTCTGGCCCCCCCACCCCTGGGCCGCGCACGTGCCGCCGTCCATGATTTGCGCCCCCCCCCTCTTGGACGCCCCCCTCTTGGCCGACCCCGATTTTTGACGGCCCCGAGGCCCGGTGAGGGCCCCTGGAGGCCAGAGATAGCGAGACACCTCCCATCGTCGTTTTTGCTCGCAGCGCGAAGGGGTCTGAGAACCAAAGGGGGAGGGTGCCGCACCGTTTTGGCCGCAGCAGCTCTGGCGCAGGCTCGCGGCGCAGCCTCCGAGAGCGCGGCGCGCGGTCGCCCTGGGCAAAGCGGAGCTTCGCGGCCGGGTCCGCACGGCGCGCCACGGCGCGGGGTCGGCGGCGTGAGCAGCCCGATGCACAGTGGCACGGGCGTCGTGGAGCAGCAGTGCCACGGCCAGGCCGGCAGAGCAGTGCCCATCGTCAGCGGCAGCTTCTGGGGGGCGGTGGGCGCCACGCCCAGCCTCGGCCGGAGCAGGTGTGGCAGTCGCCTCGGACGAGACTGTGGGGAGAGCGCTGCGGACACGGACTGGTGCCCCACTGGGACCGCAAGCGGGAGCGCCGCTGGCCATCAGTCGGAGTCGGAGTCGGACTCCGTCGCCTCGGGCAGTCGCTGCTCCTGGGCGGAGATGAGCGACGTTAGCCAGTACAAACATTAGCAGGTACTGCGCGTTCAGCGACGATAACGAGGGCGAGTGCCGCGGAAGCTCCAGCTTTGCTCCTGGCAGTTCCCATTCTGCGAGTCACAGCCTTCTGTCCAGGGAGGAGCGTGAGGTCGTTGAACAGCGGGATACAGCATGGCAGGCAAGGCACGAGGAGGAGCACGCAGCTCACGCCGCCGGCACCTGCAGGCCGTGCTTCCACTTCAGCACGAAGTCGGGTTGCCTCAACGGTACCAGCTGCAACTTCTGCCACTTCGCGCACGCGATCAAGCCCAGGTCGCGGCCCAGCAAGGCCGCGAGGATGCAGTGCAAGAGGCTGCTCGAGACGCTGGACAGCAAGGGCGAGGGCGACCTGCATGCCGCTCTGGGACTGGCCGACGCCCTGGCGACGCGGCAGAACGTGGACGAGTACATGCTCAGCCTCCTCAGGGCGAGGGGCCGGCAACAGGCGGCGGGCGAGGGCAGGATGCTCGGCGACCCTCGCGGGGAGCCAGGGCGCCCGCCGAGGCACAACTAGAGGAGCGGGGCCTCGGGGCAGGGGGAGGGCAGAGGAGGGAGGGGGAAGTGTGCTGTCGGGCGTGTCTCTGCGGGGGGGATATGCAGAAAGAGTCAGACAGCAGTCCGGGGACGGTTTTTGGGGCATTTTTGAATATTTGTCGTGGAGTATTGTTTGACTCGTCCTCAGTTTTCGTCCAAAAATCCCCCTCTCTGGGAGGACACGCCCGACCTGAGGGAAGTGGGAAGGGCGCATTGACACGTGCTCCTTGGCCGAATTTTTCCGCGTGCGATCTGCGGCCACAGGCCCCGAACTGTGCAGCGACGCGGCCCTGATTCGGGAGGTCAGTTTCAGACGGGTGGGCGAGGGCACTTGGATCGGAAGGAAGTGGGCTGTTGGGGGGCTGAAGGGTGCCAGGCACGTGTTTCCAAGACGCAAAGCTGTCATGATCGATCTATTCGGAGAGGCCGCTGTCAATTCGCGGGCAGCGCTTGGTCCCGCCAATAATTGTGTCATCTTTGCCGCCGTGCTGGCTGTTACTCGCACCAACGTGCGTGCTGCGCGGCGACAGCAAGCTGCTGCTGACTCTTTGCCGGTCAGGGTGCGTACCCTGCCGTCGCTTTGCGGACTGTTTTTGTTCCCCAATATTTTTGTGGGTTTGGCTCTTGTTTTTCATCCGAAGCGCCGCGCGAAGGCCTCAGTAGCATTGTGAACAGTCCTGTTTATATCGCGCGTCTTTCGACAGAACTGCGTTCGTCGACAGGAGAAGTTCATGTTTTCATCGTCCTAGTTGCGCACTGCAATGTGGCCAGCTGGCTTGCCTTGATCCGCCCACCTGTGCGCACTGCAAGGCGGAAGCAAGCTGCTGCTTACTTTACCGATCGGGCAGGAAGCCGTCGCAGCAAGCTGTGGATTCGCCCAGACACGTCTGAGGATGTTGCCACTGAACATCGCAGTCGAGAGACTATGATACAAGGTGTTAGCTTGTCTAGTGGTGCTTTTAAGATCAGTTTGCGTGTGCATGCTGCATGTTTCGGGACTGGTTCTATCAAGCGCACTCCGCTCTGCCTCTGATATCTTGCGCGTCTCGTTGCGTCTCGCTTGCTGCGCCTCCGTCGCCCTCGCCCTCCCCCCCAACTCGAAGAAGAAGGATACTCATTATTATCAGTAGCATTAGTATGATGCGTATTATTCTCATGATTTTTGTTACTATCATTATCTGTATGAGTATGATGATTCGTATCATCATTATCATCATTGTTATCATGTGAGTAACGCCAGCAGATCAGATGACGATGAAGTAGCTGCTGAAGCAGACTGGGAGCTTTCGAGCGCCCTTCCCAGCCAGGCGCTAATAGCTCTCGTGCGGTTGCTCAGGCCTGCGACTGCAGGGCGTCAGGCCGCACCGAACGAAGTCAGACCGGCCGGTTAGGCACTTGGCTTGATGGACGATTACGCACTTGGTTCAGAGCAACAGCAAATTGTCACCTCCTGGTCTCCGAGGGGTTAGCGCGGTAGTACGGCGAGGAGTGTTGCATCTTTTTTATTGCAGGCTGTTGTGTTGCATGTTGCGATGTTGCATGTTGCTGTGTTGCACCATCGGGTTTGTCCTGAGGCTTGTTGTCCGATTGAAGTTCCACTGGCTTCCGGACCCTGGATTCTTTATCCAAAGGTTACTTATCGAATGCCCTCACCGTATCGGGCCAGGCAGACTGAGGGACAGTTCCGCGGATGTCGCACGGTAGTGAGCGTGCTGACTCCGTTCTGGACGCGACGCAGCTGGCCAGGATTCGCAGGCTATGTTCCTGAGCACTTGGCCTTGGGCGAAGATTTGTGCAATACGCTCCACAATTGGAACGGAACGCAATCTTCTGCCCAGCGACCCTGGAGGATTTGGCTTTACACATGATCAGCCCGCGACCACACACAGGAAGCACATGGGTCCTGATCTGACCACACCCACGCGCTGCCTGCGTCCCCCCTGTCCTCCGAGTCCACCCTTTAGGATGCAACTAACTGGAGGTTCAACTCAGCATCGGCGCTTGTATATCGGTGGTGGAAGGCTTGCCTAATCCGCAATCGCCCCGCCTAATCCTGTCTGGTCCCACGCAATCCCTGGCTCCATCCTGGGCTTTGCACCGGGGCGAATCCAGATAAACGGCCCATCCGTCGGGCCTGATAACCCGTCGTCGTTCTTGCGACGTCCAGCCGGAAGTTGCTTCCTCACACCCTCTCCGCGTCCTCCAGGTCCCTAGGCGCTCCCCGCCAGAGCCCGGCCAGAGCCGACCTTCCAGCCGTCGACCTGTTCTTTGGCCGCCGAGCGTCCGTCTGACGACGCGAGACTCGCCCCCTTGCTTCCACGGCCCCCGCCCTGCCGCCCTCGGATGGGAAGCCCTTCTGCCGCGCATGTGTGTTAGCTAGATGTTCGATTGTGGAACCCTCCTCCTCCTCCTCCTCCGTTCTCCTCCTCCTCGGCTACAGAAGAGATCCGCGGGTCTGCCACGTGGGCGCAGGGGGAAAAGCCACGCCGTCCAGGACGTGATGCCCAGCTTTCGCGCCGAACGCCGCGGGAGTCCGCCGAAGACCGCCGTCGACCGCGAGGCACCGCCCGAAGACCGCCCGAAGACCGCCCGAAGGCCGCCGACGACCGCGAGCAGACCGCCGCAGGCCCGCCAGAGGGCCCGCCGCAGGGCCAGCCAGAAGCCGCCGACGACCGTCCGCAGAACGCCGAGGGCCGCCCAAGGCCGACGGGTAACAAGGGGTCCATGGGCAAATGGGCAGGGTTCGCGACGGTGGAGGAGGAGGAGGAGGAGGAGGAGGAGGAGGAGGAGGAGGAGGAGGAGGAGGAG